GTCATGGGGTTGGGATTTAGAGAGGGGAAGAAACATTCCAGGTGGAAACAGGCAAGAGCTTCAGGTAGGAAGTGACCTTTGAAAGGGCAGAGGGGCCAGACATCATGCAGGTAATGCTGCTGCTTGGTTGGCCTGTGAGCTTTTCCGGTTGATGTGTTGAACTGAACCAACAAAGCGTTGTGGATTTGGTGAGCTGTCCTAAATGTGGAGTCAAGGGAAATCTGAGGTGCCTGCAGCATTGTGCATCCTGACTGCTACTGGATGGGATAACTTGAACCTGATGTTTGTTCGGAGGAAGCTGGGAGGGTTTTATTCACAAGAGGGGCCTTAATTCACAAGAATTGGAGACCGGGAGGGTGAGAACACTGCCGTTCTGGATCGCAGCAGTCTCGTTGGTCTTCATGGTGTCGAGCATGCTGGTGTGACGTCTCCATGTGACAGGTCCCTGTTCGCCGGAGGGTTCAGGACTCCTTGGGAAGCATTTCTGAGACCCTTTTTCTGTAGCTGATGGAGCCTCCTTGTTCTCTGGCCGCTTCCTTCCACGGGGTGCTGAGTTGTTACCGCCCCGTGTGTCATACCGTGGACCTTCAAGCTGCCTGTGGTGGTAAAAGCTTGTCTGCACAAAAGGCTTTTCTCCAGTGTGTGAGTCTGTCCGCCTTTAAGTCTTAGGAGCCCGAGAGGATGGGAAGGTCTTCCCACACCTTGTGCATCTCTGTGCTTGGCTATGAGCATGGCTGGGCCTCTTAACAAAGGTGGCATGCCCGGGAGTGGGGGGAACACGGCCTGGGTTCTGACGAATACCAGGAACTTCAGCTTTGACGGAGTTGGCTGGGCTCTGATAAACTTGGAGACTGCTCCCACCTTCCATCTCAGTGTGGCCGCTCTCAGCTCTGCCCCCGCCATCGGGAGAGTTGGACTTGATGTTTAGAAAGCAGTTTTAGGGTTCAGAGAAATTGGGCCTAGCATCTACAGGCTCATACAGATACGGTTCATGACCTCCAGTGGTTCACCTTACATGATTGTCTGACTTTGCCATGGTGCAAAAGCGATACACGTTCACTAGAAACAGTGCTTCGAGTACCCACGCAGCCGGCTTTTCAGCATTCAGTACATCACACGAGCTGTTCAACAGTGTGTTATAAATACGCGCTGTGTGAGGTGGTTTTGCCCGACTGTAAGCTAATGTGAGTGTTCTGAGCACGCTTCAGGTAGCTAGACTGAGCTGTGATGCTGTGTAGGTGAATCAAATGTATTTTCACCTTAACAATATTTTCCAGTTTACAGCGGGTTTAATAGGATGTACCCCATTGTAAGTTGAGCATCTGGATGGCCCTACAAGGTAGAAGCAAGGTGTAAATAGTCAAGAGTTACAGGAAGGCAGATTCTAGCAGTCACATTGCACGCGTGCTATGCATTGTACTCGTGCTAGCAAGTTTTGTTAAATGGCACTTATTTTGAAATACATATGCAGTGGGCATGTACTGGGAATTGGAAATTAAGTGGAGAAGGCAGACAGAGGTATAGCATTCCGTAGCATTCAGATGGGAGTATTGGCCCCTTTTTCTTTTTTTAAACAAAAATCTTCTCAGTGAAAATGTGGTTATAAGCTTATTTTTTTCTATTTCTCTCAGAAGCTGTCTGACAAATGTTTTGATTCTCTGGATGTTTTTTGATGGGGTCTACTCTCAGGTCTCATCTCCAGCATCATCTACGGCTTCATCTCTTCTAATCACTGAAACCTCCTTTGAACTTTTCATGTTGTCTGCTGAAAGTTACATTTGCATAGCATCAAATAGTGCATAAACTACATGTACATTGTCATGTTATCAATTATTATAAAGTCCTGTGGATCTTTACCTATGAACCCCATTCTAATCCATCTCTTCTCTTTCCCATTGTGGCCTCCTTATGAGGGAGGGAATTTAATATACTCGCCCTGTCTCTCACCTTCCCCACAGCCCCTCTAAATCCCAGTTTTTGCTAATTGTACCGTTTTATGACTTTCAGTTTCTTTAGTAGTCACCTTTTAACTGTATTTCTTGTATTTCTTGACTTGTCGTCTTAGACTTCTCTCCTGTGTAAAAGATGAGGAGCTCTGTAAGTCTCCACCAGGCCTTGTGGGGAGGGGTTGAGGGGGTTCACTTGCTTATGGCTGGGTGGGGGTGGGACTGCATTTTTTAACCCTCTGTGTGGTTGGGGTAGGATGGTGTTACGGTGTGACTCTGTCCGCACCCAAATCTCACCTTGAATTGTAATAATCCCCACCTGTCAAGGGTGGGACCAGGTGGAGATAATCGAATCATGGGCAGGTTTCCCCAGTGCCGTTCTCACGATTGTGAATTAGTTCTCATGAGAGCTGATGGTTTTATAAGGGGCTTCCCCTCTTGCCTGGCACTCATTCTCTCGCTTGCTGTCCTGTGAAGAGGTGTCTTCTGCCGTGACTGTAAGTTCCCTGAGGCCTCCCCAGCTGTGTGTAACTGTGAGCCAGTTAAACCTCTTTTCTTTATAAATTACCCAGCCTTGGGCATTTCTTCATAGCAGCGTGAGAACGGACTAATACAGGTGGTTATTGTGAAGGTTTTTGACCTACTAGGCTGCCCTGTCCTGGTCCTTTAGCTAGAGAGGATAGGTTTTTCCTGAGGCTTTTCATCTGCACCTGTGGGGGTTGCTGGGTTGCTGGCTTGTTTAGCACTCAGTTTGGAGCATCTGAGGCAAAAAGAAAACCCAGAGAACCCGCTGGCATGGTTCCCGGCCCTGAAACCCTCAGCCGGTCTGCCTCCTCTCTCACGTTCTGAGGCTGACGTTTGTTCTGTAGGCAGCACCCAGGTCTTTTAGCTGCACTCAGCCGTAGGGAGGGGGAGATGCATCTTCTCCATCTTTTTGGGAGTCATAGGTCAGTTCTGTTTGTGCTGTGCTGTTATTTCCTATCAAGTGTGGCCTTGATGGGTTCTTCCTGTTTGTGAATAAAAGCCCAGTTGACAGGCATCAGAGTGGAGGGGACTGTGCAGTTCTGTGTGTGGGTTACCGGCCCCGTGGGCTTCACTGTGCGGGTGGTGTGTCTGTGAGCAGGTGGGGAGAACCGGATGGAAGGCTCTAGAAGCAGCTCCACGAGCAGAGCTGAGGGAGACACTTTCTCTGCACCTGTTTCCTGTGTCACACTTCAGATAGGGGATAGTCCAGGCTGGCGTGAAGCTCCCGGGGGATTTCGCTTCTGGGTAGAATTGCCTTTGTTTTTCCCTCAGAGACTGTTGTGTGGGCCTAGTGGTGCGTCACGTTCCAGTGAGAATCCAGTGCAGACAGCAGGCTTCTTTTTAATTAGAGAGGGTCAAGTTCACCTCCGGTTAGACTCAGTGCAGGCAGCAGCTTCTCTTTAATTAGAGAGGGGTCTGGGTGCTGGGCTTCCCATCAGGAAGAAGGGGCTGTGGTGCTGAAGTCCGTCGTGTGTCCCCTTCCTGAGTTAGAAAACTGTCTTTGGTGCTCCTGGGGCTGCCCTACAAGTGCTGCTCTGAACTGTTAGGTCGTTCAGAGTCCACTTGCGTCCTGTCCCCAGGAATCTCCTCAGACCCTATTTAGACTGCTCATAGACTTTCCCTTCCTTTTTTGCACTAACCGGGTTCTTTCTCCGTTAATTTTTTAAAGCTTTTTCTTTCTGTCATTTCGGCGGCACTGGGAGGGGTGGGAGTTAGATAGGTGTTTGTAGTCGGCCATCTTGAGAAACTTCTCAGAACTGGAGGGTTGTAACTGCTTGAGTTTTGAAGTTAATGGAATGGGCGCATTGCCTTTATAACTGTACATGTTTACTGCTTCACTTACTGTTAGCCCAAGCCGGTGTCTTGCATCTGCCCAGATCCTTCTTTGTGGTACGTGCTCACTTTTGGCGACAGCCAGGCTGTTCTTTGCAGGCGTGTGCTCCTAGCAGTCGAAGACAGAAGTCTGGGGGCCTGTGTAGGCTGTATGGGCTGCTGTGTGTGTGTGCCGTGAGTTGTGTCTGAGACCACCCCTGCTCCCCTGAGTGCTGCCTGATCTGCCTGCATGACCACGGTGGGACACCACTGTTCCCTGGTGTCCTTTCCTGGCTGGCAGTGTGGTATTGTGGGCAGAGCCAGGCTGGTGGGCTCTGATCTTGGTTCTGCCTTTGTAACGTTTGTCACACTGTCTTTTGGGAGCTCGTTTTTGTGTGTGTGTGTGTGTATGTGTGTGTTTTCTGCCTGTAAGATAAACTGGCATGCAGTCTACACTGTGAGGTACGGGCTGTGTGCGGGCCAGCACAGCACGCTGTGGTCCTAGGCAGGGAGGTGTCCTTCCTTTCCCCTGCCTGGTGGGGCTGCCCTTCCCTGCCTCGCGTGGAGGTTGCTCCTGGCCTGCAGAAGGCAGAGAGCATCTTGGCAGGATGAGCCCTGCCTGCCTTCCCATTGCTGTGCTCCTGCCTCCCCTTCCTGGAAACTACCTAAAATACTTGGTTACTTCTTTTTTGAAGCTGTGTTCTCTGTCCTAGTGTTTGGGTGTTGATACAGTGGAATCCACAAAATTGAATAAGATTTGATTCTCATTTTAAAGTGAAATAAATCATTTGGGTGCATGTTGGGTGAAAGTGCCGTAATTGATAGCATTCATCATCAGACTTTAATTTTATCCCTGGGGTGTAGGAGTAGGTGGGATTAAGTACAAAATCTACAGAAGCAGGGAAGGCGAAAACGTACTGCTGGATTTCTGTTTTTCACATGTCCCCAGCAATATGGACCATTTGCATTAAACTTTTAATAGCAACACTTATTTAAGATTCATTTTTTACTCTTGCTCTGAAATCACAAATTCCATTTGACAGTGATAGGACAAAATTATAGTTTTAAACTCTGCAAACCACACTCCAGAGCTGTGCCAAAAATAACAATTTCTTGTGTCAAGAATAACTTCCTCATCAAGTCACTGGAGGAGGCGAGCTGACTGGTGGCGATGCAGACCGCTAAAGCTTCAGTGAGCCCAGAAAGCGTGCGCTCCACATTGCAGAGACCTCTCTGTCAGTATTGAGATGGTGGAAAGTGAGGAGAAGCAAAAAGATGACTACTTCTTTCCCCATTCCCTGGTCTGGTTTTTTTGGGGTCTACGTAGAGGTGCATCAGCCTGCGCTACCATGGAGGCAGGAGGCATTCTTTCTGCTCTCGCGTCAGTACTGACGGGGTTGAAGAAGGTTGCTGTGCTTGTTGGTGAGGGTATTGCGAGGGTGGTGTGAAAGCAGTTGGGCTGGAGTAGAGCTGGTCACAGTGTGTCCTTTTGCCTGGGATTCCCTTTGTTTACATTTGTGTGGCCCTAGTGCTACAGTGATGTCACTTAGCTCTGGGGGACGGTCTGAAATTTTGTGCTCTAAATTATTAATACATGTTTATGTGTGGGTTTGCTAGAATGCTGTGTCCATTATTGTTGGCTCCTTGCACAGCTCTCCTTGTTCTGCCTCACTGGCTGTGAAATTGGCTCATGTTGTGGACTCTGGGTCCAGCGAGATGCATCTGAGGTGTTGACCTGGTGGTGTGGGCCTGGGGCTGCCAGTGGTCCCGTTGCCTGATGAGGGAGACCATTCCTGAAACTGTAGCACACACTCAGGAGAGTAGGAAAGGTGGAGAAAGCCTCCTGGTTCTGAGCTTGTGGCTCTTGCTATCCTTGACTTGTTTGTTGTGCGAACCTTTTTTTGTTTAAGCCAATTTAAGTTGGGTTTACTTACTCGTAGTGGAAAGGTTTTGACACAGGATCTTTATTATATGAAGTGTTTTCATAATGTACGTTGTGTTATAAATTATGACGCATCACACAATCTTGTGATGTAGCTTGCTTTGCCATTTTTATTATGTGGAAGATATTCCTGAATTTCTACACTTCCTATGAATTTGGAGGCAGGGTGAGGCAAAGTCACTAGTATCAGGGTATCAGGGGAACCTTTCAAATCTCAAACATTGAAGTGTTCTTCTGTGACCTGTTTCTTCGTCAAGTTGTGTCTGCTCTGCAGAGTGGCTGTGACAGCTGACATCCAGTGTGAAGGTGTGGTCACTCGGCTGGAAGAGAAAAACCTAGCACCCTGAGAGTGGGTGGATCTGCTGGTGATTTTTCAAGCAATGTCTTCCCGTTTTTGGACGCTCCTCCCTTCTGTAGGTGGAGCCTTGTTCGCTTTTCATTGAGTACAGGTGGGGCTGATGACTCATTTCTAATGAACAGAGCACGGCCTGCCTGACTGCTGAGGCTAGCTTATAGGATTCCTGAAGCTGCAGGCCCTGGTTTCCTTTCTGCGTGTGCCCTGGGGTCACTCACTCTGTGGAGTCCGTTGTCCGTGCTCTGAGGACTCAGGAACTGAGGGCTCCTGCTCACAGCCATGCCGTGGAGCTGTCTTGGTAGCACCTCCTCAGTCCCGGCAAGGCCTCAAGGCTGCCAGAATCCTGCAGCTCCAGCTGACACCTCAACGACCTCCCGTGAGACCCAGAGCCACATTCACCCGGCTAAGCTGCCCTGAACACTGACACGCAGAAACTGAGATAACAGATGCCTGTCGTTTGGGCCACTGAGTTTCAGAGTGAGCTGCCTGTAGAAATGGATGAGCAGCATCTGTGCACGGAGGTGAAGGGTGGAGCCAAGCGCATGTCTGTCAGACTCCGCTGCCATCCATCCTTTCCCTGCCTGCCTTCCTCCTACGTGGTGCTGGATCAGCCGAGAGGATCAGCAGCCGAGAGGCTTCTGTGAAAGAATGTGCTCCTTCAGGGCCGACTTGAATTTGTGTCTTTTTTTCCTTGGAGATTTCTGTAAAACAGCAGCCGTTAGCAGTTATGTGATTACTACGTTTAGAATTTGGGAAGAAAGGGAAAACCTTGTTTGCCATGAAATAAGTACTCTGTTGATAAGTATTCCTTATTTTGAATAATGGAGAATTCTCTGTGTCTTAGCCAGTGAAGAGTTATTCACTTTTATGTTGTGTTAAAATGATAAAAGTGACTCCAGTGACCTGACTGCTTCACTTAATGAGTTTTGTTTTTGTTTTTGCAAGATGCATTTCCTCTCTTTCAGGAATAAGTTCTGTTGGGGAAAATACGGAATATGGACATGTTGCCACCTCCTGCTAGATGATGGCGTGTTAATAAACAGTTTCTACATCTCAGCATTTTACAGCCCCCACAGGTTTATTATGTCGTATGTGTTAGCTGCAGATAAGGTGTTGCTCTGCTCGAAGCGTCTCCTTTCGTCAGCATCCAGGCTGAGAGAATAGCTCCATTTTGAGCCTTGCCATTCTCATTTAAGGGAAAAGGATGGGAGGTTGGCTGGAACCCCTGCAGGCTCCCAAGCCTTCTGCTTAGAACCAGTGTGCGTCCTTTCTGCTCAGAGCTGGTGTCTGCCTCTTCTGTCATATTGTGTCCGGAATTGGTTCCTTCTGGTGGGTTCTTGGTCTCGCTGACTTCAAGAATGAAGCCGTGGACCCTCGTGGTGAATGTTACAGTTCTTAAAGATGGTGTTTCTGGAGTTTGTTCCTTCAGATGTTCAGACGTGTCCGGAGTTTCTTCCTTCTGGTGGGTTCGTGGTCTCGCTGACTTCAGGAGTGAAGGAAGCTGCAGACCTTCATGGTGAGTGTCACCGCTCTTAAAGGTGGCGCATCCGGAGTTGTTTGTTCCTCTGGGTGGGTTCGTGGTCTTGCTGACCTCAGGAGTGAAGCCGCAGACCCTCGCGGTGAGTGTTAAAGCTCATAAAGGTAGTGGGTACCCAAAGAGTGAGCAGCAGCAAGATTTGTTGTGAAGAGCGAAAGAACAAAGCTTCCACAGCGTGGAAGGGACCTGAGCGGGTTGCTGCTGCTGGCTCAGGTGGCCAGCTTTTATTCCCTTATTTGGCCCCACCCATGTCCTTCTGATTGTTCCATTTTCCAGAGTGCTGATTGGCGCGTTTTTACAGAGTGCTGATTGTTGCTTTTATAAACCTTTAGCTAGATACAGAGCACTGATTGGTGTGTTTTTACAGAGTGCTGATTAGTGTGTTTGTAAATCTTTAGCTAGACACAGAGTGCTGATTGGTGCGTTTACAATCCTTTAGCTAGACAGAAAAGTTCTCCAAGTCCCCACCTGACCCAGAAGCCCAGCCGGCTTCACCTCTCAATATCTCACTGGCCAGAGAAAGTCGTGTGGCCAGGCCTGCCCCTGCCTGTAGGAAGCTGATGGATATCACTGGACCCAATGCAGACTCTTCCTTGAAGGGCAGGGGGAGTGAATGAAAGCAGCCGTACTGTCTGCTGCAGTGAGCCCGGATTAGAGAGGTGGAGGAAGTTGGAACATAGTGTACTGAATGTGAAAATTCTAGGTTGGGTCGATATCAGCTCTTAGAACTTGTGCCTGTTGAAGCCTTCTTATTTTACAATAATACTCTTTTTGATTGAAGCTATCCTGGAAACCACTGTGGGTATTTCTGCTAATAGTCGTCCTCTGGTCAGAGGTTTTCATATTTGGGAGCAGGGGTGACTATAAGCTCCCTGATGTCGCCTGTGCATACACGTAGGGTCACCCTAAGGGCCTTAGCCTGCCAGATGGATGCTGGTGACCAGCCGAGCCCCATCTTCCTCATGTCCAAATGAGTCCTCCTTTTGTCAGGTGTTAGTTCAGGAACTAAACTTAATAATAAATGTGGCTGCTTTGGTGTAATCATAAAATGAGGAATATGCCAAAATCAAATTCCTTTGGAGGCATGCCAAAAATTAAGGCTGGAAGTTGAGTCTGGGCCAGATTGTAGAGCCTTTGATGACTGGTTCCAGCACCTTTGGCTTCAGTTTCTTCTGTGGGGTTAGGAGTCAGAGAGCTGGGTGCCCAGGAACAATCAGCCTGGGCCTAGAGACTGGACAGCAGTGGGGAAGGGACACCAGACAGCGACCTCTTGATACGCCTGTTACAGATGGTGGCCTCAGGTCCACATTTGCATGGGCTCACCCCTCTTCCTTTTTTCTGCTCCAAAGTCTGTACCTCCATTGGGAGCACACACAGTTATCACCCTCTCTGAGAAGCCCTTTCTGACTCACGTTACAGGTGCTTGCTTTCTGCCACCATGGACTACTCGATGACTCCCCCTCCTCTTCCTCAACACCCAGGGCGACTTTTCCCTACCGTCTTTCTGTGTCTGGGGACATCACCTCTCTCGGCCCCTAGGTGGGCGGGATCCTGACCAGCCCTGGGCAGCGGCCTCTCTGGGGAGAGCCCAGTGCCCTCCCTGCTGCGTCCTTCATCTTCTTCCTGGTCATCTCCAAGCCGAGCCTCCTTTCTCTGGAACCTCGTGTGGGAGATGCAGTTCCGGGACAGAGGAGTGAATACCCACTCGCCTTAACTCATTTTTTTTTTCTCTTGTTGTCCTGTAGCCAGCTGCTGAATTCCTCACTGCGCATCTTCACCCTTCTCTTGTTTTCTGTTCAGCCAGCTCTCTTGACCCTGGTCCTTCTTGCTCGAAATCATGTCTTTTTTTTTTTTTTTAAACAATACACTGTGTCAGAGGAATCCTTGAGTTTTACAACTGGAAGTGACTTTAGAGGTTAGCTGATTCAGCTTCTCTCCCTTCCCAGGTGAGGAACGGGACAGCCACAGCTGTGTGGAGACTTGTCCACTCTGCAGCTGCCAGCTGTTTAGGGATGGATGCCCCCTCTTGGGTACTGAGTGGCCACATCCATGTTTGTCTGGGATGGTCTTGCTTTGTGTCCCTGTTCCCAGGTGAATTTCTGACAATGTTCCCTTTTTCTCTCAGCAGAGATCTGGACGGCTGGTGAACTGCATGAGTGTCCTGCGTGGACTGCCGTCGTCCTGTGGCTTTAGACCTTCTGGTGTCTTCTGTGCCGTCCTTGTGTTAAAACCCCCCCTTTTTTTTCCCGTCAAGTTTGTTGTCAAATTGTATCTCATGTAAGATGATAGCCAAGACCTGCTAGTGTTATTAAAAACAAAAACCATTCCAAGTGAAAACAGCTAAGTCTTCATTAGTATCTCTTGGTATTGGCTGAGTTATCGATGCATTCTTTTGTCTGTGAAGATAATTTTAACCCTCTCTATGGATTATGTAATTCTAGGTTTTTCCCTAAACTGAGGAACAGGATGTATATGCTTGTGAGAAAAACTGGTTTGAGAGTTCCTCATGGGTGTTGAGTGTTACAGTCACTCAGGACATTGTTACTA